TAAGTCTTAATTGCTACGAGGTGTAAAGAAGGAGAAATAAGATGGAAGATGAGTCAAAAATGAATAATAACTGACAATTCTTTATCTAAGAAATTCAGACAACTTAAGTCTTAATTGCTACGAGGTGTAAAGAAGGAGAAATAAGATGGAAGTTGAGTCAAAAATGAATAAAAATTGACAATTTTTCATCTAAGAAATTCAGACAACTTAAGTCTTAATTGCTACGAGGTGTAACGAAGCAAGAGAAATAAGATGGAAGATGAGACAAAAATGAATAATAACTGACAATTCTTTATCTAAGAAATTCAGACAACTTAAGTCTTAATTGCTACGAGGTGTAAAGAAGCAAGAGAAATAAGATGGAAGTTGAGTCAAAAATGAATAAAAATTGACAATTTTTCATCTAAGAAATTCAGACAACTTAAGTCTTAATTGCTACGAGGTGTAAAGAAGGAGAAAAAGATGGAAGATGAGTCAAAAATGAATAAAAATTGACAATTCTTTATCTAAGAAATTCAGACAACTTGAGTCATCCGTTTTACTATCAGATGTTAATATGTAAATGAAATCAGATAAACATTCATGGAATAACTTTGATAAATTTTAGGAGCGAACGACAGCTGCAGTCTAAAATTCTAGGCAGATTCCCGCGTCTACGCAGGAGAACGTTTTTATTGTCCGTTGGTACTGAATATTGGTAATGTGAAGTATATGATCATGTAGCGGCGAGTACTGTATTTTGTATATATAATGTTTTTTTTATAATCCGATAGAATTTCTTCTTATAATAAAAGCGATTTTTTTTTTTAGTGGGTACACGTCTTTGAGTTGCTATCCTGAATTTTTAATTCCTTAAAAAGGGTAATTAATATCAACCAGCCTAAGTTTGTTTAAGAAAATAACAAACAAGCAGTGATGTCAACTCAAAATAACGTTTGGTTTTACAGTCTGTTGGTACTGAACATTGATAATACGAGTTATATGATCACGTGACGCATTGGTTTAGCAATCCGGTCATCCCAGGTTATAATAACAAAAAGAAACAGATCAGCATTTTTTCTGATATCTTTTTTTGTCATTTTAATGTCCTTTCTTCAATCAGGTGAACGTTTTTACTGAACGTTGGTACTGAATATTGGTAATGTGTGAGTATATGATCATGTAGCGGCGAGCACTGTATTTTGTATATAATAGTTTTTTTTTTTACAAGGTTTTGCCACGCCATAAAATTTTTAAAATATACTTATTCCCCCCACTGTATTTGTTTCACTTCAATCATTTTGTGCATGAACACTCTCGCGGAGTAGACAGACACTTAGACCCTTAAAAATTTGACGTTACATATTCTTTATCAAATTTCTTTTGGTTGTGTGTTTGTAGTGTAACGGTTATCAACACGGAAAGTGGAATCAGCGTACCAAGTTCAAATTCTGACCTAGTCAGTTACGGTCACTTAGCATCTTGAAAAAGGCATGAATCCATCTTTCTCTTGGTTATGGGTAAGATAACAGAGCAGATTGCTTTTCGTGTTTTACTTGGCAACTAACCTAGGAGAAGGAACATTCTAAATTCAGCCCGGTGGCATAAAGCGCAAGAAGGCCATCCGTTGCTCGGTTTGGCTATTCATCGCAACTGGTTCACCAACAACCGACATGGACCTCGCCTTGTCCACGGATTGCGGCAGCCGTGCCACCCGTGAGGGCGGATTTGGTCTTATGCAAATCCACCCACGCACACGCTGTTCATTCTTGAAGGGGGAATTAGATCACCTCGGTGGTAATGTAGCGATTTTCTAAGCACAGCTTAGATGTGGCACAAGGCCAAAAGTATGGGGCACCCAGTGAGGATCGAACTCACTACTCAGTCGTAATTGATCTAGCAAGACAAGCTTTCTAACCATTACACCACGTTGGGGGTGCCGGTGGTAATGTAATTGTAAAAAACTACGCAGTATTTTGAAAAACTTACTAAGATCTACAAAAGATAGGAAATTGATCACCTACGTTCCTGGGCGCCATCCCCCCACATGAAGCTGCTCGTTATGAGGCGCCAGTTTTCCGCCTTCGCTCATTCTTCGGCTTGAAGCTGGACTTAGTCGTAATGGCACGGAGGCATTTTATAGACACTTGGAGCTTGTCTTCCCCATACCCCCAGATATGACAAACTTTAGCAGATAATGTACATATATAAACATTATATGCATTACGTGTTTTAGAATTCCCGTACGATCACCGAAGTTAAGTAAGGTCGAGCCTGGTCAGTATCTGTATGAGTGATCGCTTGGGAATGCCAGCTACTCTACGCGTGGACGTGCGGGCGGTATATAGGTTAAGGCTATGTCACGTTGAAACACCGAAGTTAATTTCAGTTGGGTTAGTTATATTCTTTTACGTGCAAATACCCTTGGGGAAAGGGATATCAATCCACCTCTTCTCCCCTAGCTATGAGGTAATTAGTAAGACTTGTATCACTAAAAAATTCTTACAATCTAAAATATTTG